GTTTTTGGTCAAATCACGATCCCTTAGTTCAATTCCAAAATCAAATCCCAAAATATTTGTTTGAAGAGCACACAAATCATTGGGAAGCTTAACTTTGATTGAATCTCTCTGTTTTGGGTTGATCTATAGATTTCGATGCTTAGTGAGCTGAATCAGTGTTTGATTTATATGTTTTCAGGTGTAGATAGTTTTCACATTTCACTGGTTAGCTAGATTAAGCTGTGTAATTGGGCAAAATTGTTATATGGATCTTCAAGTTTCGAACTTTGATTGAATTGGGTATGATTGATGTGTTCTTTGTATCAAATTCTCTTCTTTTTTTTTGAGTTTGAATTACTAGATTTTGAGCTGTGTAATGCTTTGTGCAGATTGTTGGAGCTGTTATTTATAGTGTTCTGGTCACAGCCTTCTATGTATTCCTCGGATTCTTCATTGGGAATCGAATTGCTATTGTCGCACTTCTTTCGGTTTTCTCCTTTGTGGTAAGTAAGCTCAAGAAAATTCCATTTGCCCGAGCTAGAAAAGTATGTGGCCAACACGGGGCTCAGTCATTTGCTTAGCTTACTCCGCTCTTTGGAATGCAACAAAAACGAGAGTTATTGATTTTATCTGCAGGTGGTGACAAACTCGGGTGCTCTTGCCTTGGAAGATGTTTTGGAGCTTATTTCTGAGGGTGAAAATTTGCCTGTCTATGCAGAGAAAGAACTTCAGGTTAATAAGAAATGAATGCTAATAAGCTGTAGCATATTACCTTACTGTTACCTAAAACTGTTTGTATCATTGCTGATTGATGCAGTCGTTACGAGCTCGAAGTATGTTACACTGCATTTGTCTAAAGCCATACAACTCAAGATCCATGATTTCTTAGAGTCAATGTGGTGAATGGTATCACACCTATTGTGTTAAACTTCATTGGCGGCCTAAGGCTTATGTCTGGTCCGCTTGCTGTCCAGTGGCGTAATCCACTCCACAGATTGATCCCTCCGGGTTTGTTCCTTTACTATCCAAACACATTGCCACAAATTTTTTATTCGCCCTATGTTAGATGTTTTATACTGTCTTGTAGTCTTTGCATGTCACTCAGAGAAGCCTCTATACCTTAAGTTCTTCAATTAGAAACATAACAAAAGAGAATGAGACACTTTACACAATCTCTACACTTCTCTTCTCATTTCTCTGAATCCA